TCTCTCTCTCTCTCTCTCTCTCTCTCTCTCTCTCTCTCTCTCTCTCTCTGGCTCCCTGTGTGTCTAACCCATATAAACACACAGTGTTGGATTTATTTCTCATTATAAATGTATATTATGTATAATATTAGGATCCTTATGATGAGGCACACAGCTGTCTTTCCGTTTATGAATGTGGATTTTAAACCGTGAGACCATCAATAGATTACTTTTAATTTAAAGTAAAGTATCAGTTCAAAACCTCCATTCAGTTTTCTCTCTTTTATTTCTCATTAAATTTAAAGTCGTCTTGTTATAAACTATGATGACGTTTTTATATTTCATTGGCTAATCAATAATGTGATTAAACCCAAAAAGTAACGGATCGATTCATAGATAACTACGAGCCTCAACATGTTCCAGTGGTCTAAATATGATCAAAGTCTGTATTTTATTATTGTTTGATTTTGAATTATTTTATTTAACTGATTTATTATTTAGTGTTCAGTTTACTTTCAAATAGAACAAAGTTGTAATCTGTGTCTTTGGTGGTTTAGATAAATGATTGAGAATGTATCGCTCATTCTGTTGGTTTTTATTTATATGATTCTCTGACAGTTTAAAGTCTAAACTAGACCTGGTGACTAGAAGTCACATCTCTGTCTTTTTAGTCTCAATAGCGAAACATGACAAATATGTATTTGTGTATTTTCTACAAAGTAAATTTTGAGTTGTCAGATGTCATAAACGTTTTCATTAAAACAGAGTAAAGACAGCAGCAACATTCTGTCTGTTTGACTCTTTACTGCCGTCTGTTTAAAGTAACATGAAGGAAGTGATCTAATAAGTCCATCATCTGGTCAGTGAGATGAAACTAACGTTGTTGTTGTTGTTGTTGTTGTTTTAGACGGAGAACTGAACGTTCTGGAAGATATTCTGACTGAAGCTCCGGATCAAGACGACGAGCTCTACAACCCTGAGACAGAACGAGCTGTCAGCGACAAGAAAGGTACTGATACTACAGATAATACTACTGGTGGTACTGGTGGTACTACTCATACTGCTGATAATACCACTACTGGTAGTACTACTCATACTGCTGATAATACTACTACTGATAGTACTACTCATACTGCTGATAATACTACTACTGGTGGTACTACTCATACTACAGATAATACTACTACTGGTGGTACTACTCATACTGCTGATAATACTACTACTGGTAGTACTTCATGAATCAGCTGACAACAATAAATAATAATAAATGAAGCTGTCTACCTCATCTAAACCCTCCGCTCTGTCTGACAGGAATAAAGAGGAAGAGTGAGCGCTCAGGTAGCCAGGATGTAAAGAGGCTCCGCCCCTCTACAGGCCACACCCCCTCAAGGTCTTCTTCCACCAATAAGAGAGCCCCGGGGCCACCGCTCTCCTCCTCTTCCTCCTCCTCTAAGAAAGCGCCGTCCAGCCCCCGTGCTCGCCACGCCGCCGCCGCCGCTAGCTACCGTCACGAGTACTACGAGGAGAGGAAAGTTCGGCGAGGAGCGCGAGAGGCGACCAGGAGCCGCGGGGGGGAGGAGGTCCGACGCAGAGAGTCCCAGAGAGGCCTGGAGGCTCTGAGCCAGGTACTGATACTACGATTAATACCTACAGTACACAAACGGTACATTCACATACCACCTTTCAGTTTGATACTAGTATTACAACCTCTTAAGCACGACGCCCCCGAATTTGGGGGCTCTCGGGCTCAGCCCCACTGAAAATGTTGTCCGCAAAATGGACTTATTGTTCGCCAATATTGTGGATTTGTACATTTCATTTACCGGATTAAACAGCAACGTATGGGCAACACTATCATATAAGTCACTTTTTACACACTCCAAACACAGCTATAGACTACTAGTATAAGCATCTTGAAAATGTGCCATAAAAGGACGAATTTCTGGCCAAAAATCGCCGTTATATGTACTGCAAATAAATATTGCACCACGAAGCTAGCGGCTAATCCGCACATCGCGAAGCATTAGCATTCGACACAGAACACATAAATACTTTCGGTTTTTCTCTCCGTGGAACGAGTAGAAAGCTGTGAGTGGACAACGGTACCATGGCACTGCCCTTCACCGGCTTCAACAGCTGGTTCCAGAATGACGACCTCGCGTGACCTCTCTGTACTAAAGCCTCTTATTCTTCACTTTATCCCAGCCAAATGTTATTCTATGACTACTGATCGTACATCCATAGGTTGTGCTATGATTTGGGAGAGTCTTTAGGCTCTCAGCTGCATTATTTCAAAAACATATTATCAATAAAAGTGCTTTTTTTTTTCAGGCGAACCTGCATATTTTCAATTTGAGCTGTGTAATATCTTCATGTACTATATTAACCAGCAACATATACACAATATTTACCCATCTGAACAATCTCAAAGTGTTATCTGATTATAGCATCAAAAATTATTAAAATAGACCTTGTAGTTACAGAACTGTGGTCTCCTTAGTATGGGTATGCCATTTTCGAGGCCTACAAATAGGGCTAGAGCTTAAGAGGTTTTAATACTACTACCTACAGTACACAACAAACAGTACATTCACATATACTACTACTACTCACACTGATAGTACAACTACTGATACTACTACTCATGCTGATAGTACTGCTACTGCTACTCATACTGATAGTACTGCCACTCGTACTGATAGTACTACTGACACTACTACTCATACTGATAGTACTACTACTACTCGTACTGATAGTACTACTACTGACA